CTTTGACAATTTGTGTAATCTGAACAGTCTCTTCTGGAAGTCCAAGCGGGATATCACCATGTAATATAATTTCATCACTTGGTGATATCCCATGTTAATTCTTAATAGATTATAATATAAAATTAATCATTAATAATAAAATATTGAAGTTTAAATATATTAAAAATGATATTAGTAATATTTAACAAAATATAAAAATTTTTAAAAAAAGGAAAAATACTTTTATTATTTATATAATTTATTATTTTATACAGTATATACTAACGCTAATAAATTATTAATTGTGTAATTTGTGTAATTGTTTATCTTAAAATTAATTAATGGTAACTCCCTAATATATAAACGGATTTAATTAACCAAATTGTTTAAAATATATAAATAAAATGACATCCAAATTTAGAACTTCCATATGTTAAGCTGATCTCATCCAGATCGTTTAAACATAATCATTGGCATCCGTAGATTTTCACGCATACATTCAACGATAAACAAAATTTTATTTCGCTAATATTTTGTACTTTCACTTTTTATATATAAAATAATATTTTCTAATTACGGATGATATACGGCCTTTTCTAAATAATTAATGATGTTTTCCTATTTCTCATTACATCAGATTTAATTTGTTGTATTTGAAATGCGTCAAGAATACATTTTAACGCGATTTTTTTAATCATATATATAAATATATATATATTTGTAATAGATAATTATATTTCAAATTTCAACTCTATTCAATTTCTAAATCAACAAAAGAAGCAAAAAAAGGCAGCAATGGGTTGTTGTTCCTCGAGAAATGACGATGATTCTTTTGGGCAAGAAGGGTCCGATGATAATCATGTTCCCCGAGGAGGTAAGATCTTCTACCAAGATAACAATGAAACAGTTCAATGTTCTTCATAATTTATTGAATGCTTTCTTGTGATTTTTATACGATAGGTAATAAACCATTTACTAAAAAAGGTATGACATGGACATCAGATTCTCCAGTAACAATATTGAATTTAAAGCGACAACGCGACGCGTTTTGGGATACGGCACCTAGTTATGAAGTAAGACTGTGATAATTAATACCTTTAGATACGAACGTCTTTGATTCATTTTAAATGAAAAGTAATCAATTTTTTTAGGGTCGTTTGGAAATTTGGCAAGCTCTTCGGTGCGCGTGTGAATCTGAAGATTTAGTTTTATCTCAAGCTATTATTGATTCTGCAAATGTTACGATTCCAACAGGAAATTTAGCCGATGGTTGTTACGATGAACTTGGGAATAAATATGTTATACCATTATATTGTATCGTTGAGCCAACAAATCTTATAGACTATAATGGTGAAGGTCCTTCAGAACGTGGCGAAGATATTGATTTCAAATTACTTGATGAAGAACTTACGGGGTTAGAACATACTTTTACAATAAGATTATCGACAAATGCAAAAGATGTTAAACTTAATTATAATCCAAAATTGGATACTATTGCTACGTTAAGAGCAAAATTATGTACAAATCAAAATTTGGAGATCAAAAAATTTCATGTTAAATTTTTCCTTTTAGGTCATATATTTGAAGATAAAACAAGGTTATGTGACGTTTCACTTGAGAATGAACAAATATTGCAAGCCTTTATCTCTGAAAAGTTTTAAGATGGGGATTTGTAATCAAGCAATTCTTAAAAACTATAAAAACATTTGGCATAGCATTTATTTGTATTTTTGGTAGATTCAATATTTTTGTTTTAAAGTGTATTCTATATTATTAATATTATTTTACTTTTTTTTTTTTTTTTTAAAAAAAAAAAAAGGAACAGTTATATTTATTTTTTCATGTAAATTAAAAAAATTTTTTTTTTTTTGTAATTTATTCTGTTTTTTTTTTGCTTTAAAAATTATATATTATTATGCTCTATTTGCTATTATAACAATACTTTTTATAAAAATATATTCAATTGCCGTTATAATATAAAGCTTTAAATGCTTAATTTTTAAATAATTAGTTTAAATAACGTTTGATCAATTTTATGAACTACAAGAACATTGAATTCCCAAACCCCACTAAAAAAAAGCATACCAAGTTAGTCTCAATTTATTAAAAACATAATCTCAAAATAATTAGTAAATCTTACAGCTGGAACATCGCCACAAAATCTTGCTGCTTCTTGTTGAAATTCACTAGGATCTACTCCCCATTCTTTAAAAGGATTTTCGCACATTTGTAATACTCTTTTTAATATTTCACTATCTCCTCTTTCAACTCTTTTAATTACTTCTTCGGCAATCCAATTTCTTAATACAAATTTAGGATTAATTTGTTTCATTTTAATTGATCTATTAAGATCATTTGAATCTTCGGATATTAATCTCTGTTTATAAATTTCAAACCATGAATTAAAATCTGATAATGCCTTTTCTAAATCAACTGATCTTGTTAAAAGATCTTTAATAAATATTGACGATGAATTTGATGTTGTAGTCGAGAATGAACATAACAAACGGAAAAAATGATGATAATCAACTAAATGTGTAGCAAGAAAATTAAGAAGTGGTGTAATGATTATTTCTAAATCTGTTTGTTGCAACGTTTGAAATCCTAATTTCTGTTTAAACCAAAAAAAAGGTTTAATGAAAAAAAAGGCATATTAAAAATTTAACAAAACAGATTACTTACTTTCATCATTATTTTTTCATATTCTTCTAAGAAAATTTCTTGGAATTCTCCTAATACCAAATCAATTATTTCTTTACCTTTCCGAATAATTTTATCTTTCATTGAAGGAAAATCATTGCCCTTTTCATTAGGATAATTTGCATCCAAGAACCATTGCTTATCTACTTCATCTCCAGCTCCAATTAACTCTTGAAAAGTATGACTCAATTTTAGTAGATTCCAAAGACATGCCGTTGGTTGGTTTCTAAATGAATATCTACCCTATATATTAATATTATTAACAAGTTAATAATAAAGAATAATTTTAATTTTCTAATTATCGAGAAATACAAATAGCTATAATACCTCATAATCTGAATGATTACATATCCAATTTGAATCATAAATATCCAAAAATGCAAAAGGACCGTAATCAATTGTTAACCCTAGGATAATAATGATACTTAATTTAAGAATATTACGATATTTAAATATATAAATATATATAAATATAAAAATATACCATTTACCCAGAATTGACATATTATCTGTATTCATAACTCCGTGACAAAATCCAATTGCCTGCCAATGAGCAACCATCCTTGCAGTTTTTCTTGAAATTTGATTAAATAATCTACCATAACGATTTCCATATTTCTCATATTCCGGATTTTCTAAAGATTTAAGTCCATAAACTTCTTCAACGACAAAATCCGTTAAGGATCTTAATTGTTTCCTTTCCATTCGATAAAAAAAAATTTCAAAGCTCCCAAATCTAATCCATGATGGCGATAATCTACATACGATAGACCCGGTCTCAAGAACTTCACGTTGTACCATGCGTTTAGGTGTATGGACAATTGAAAGAACTCTTGTAGTTGGGACATCCAATGCAGCCATTGCTATAAAAATTGGAATTAAATCAATTGAAAAAGAAAAAAAAAATTACCATATTCTAATATATATAAATTTCAAACCTTCTGAGCCGAGGAATTCTCTAATAGATGACCTCAAGACGGCAAGTCCATCAGCGGCTCTTGAAAATGGAGTTTTTCCGACCCCTTTATGAACAGATTAGTATTATGATAATTCAGAGTAAAAAAAAGTTTATCAAATCGAATTTACCTTTTAATTGCAACTCCCATCTTTCATTTTTGTCATTAATCGCTTCAACTGATAAAGATACATATCGATTAAATTACGGTCGATACGATACTGCTTGGATTAAATAACAATCAATGTAATAACTGATCATAACCTTACATAGAGAAATAACGCGTCCATCTCCCAGTCTAAGATAAGTGGTGTTAGATTGAATTCAAGATTCATTTTATTGAAAATATAGATAAAACTTACTGTCCCGCAAAAAATCCAAATTGATGCCCACCATAACAATGAGCCCAAGGAAAAGTTCCCTTAACAATTCGATTTCCACTTACAACTTCTAAAAATTCCGTTTTTTGTTCTTCAGACCAGTTATTTATTTCTTCCAAATTCAATATTTCTTTGGCAGTTTTTTCTGCTATAGCAAGTAATTTAGGTTCTTTTACTGGCTCAGGAACAACATAAGTAAAGGCAGCTTTTTTAATAGGTCGTGAAGTCCTTTGTGATTCGGTCGTATTTAGTGAAGGAATTGCTTCGTCGGAAGGCAGACGTTTGGTGAAAACAAAAGACTTTGTTATATTGTCCAAGTTTTTGATGCTGGATTTTGACATGGTAGCCCTTTTAATAAAGTTCGCTACAGATAAACCATTTGATAAATCAAACTTTTTGCCTTTAATAACGAAATTAAGCATAAACGCATAAAGCAAAGAATTATACTTACAATGATTTCAATGGCGCGTTGTATATTTAATGGTGTAACTTTTGCACTGATTTTAAATAATGAATATTCATTATATTCATTCAATGGCTAAATTTGGAAACAATTTTATTTGTTAAAACGAATTTCCAAAAAAAAAACATGAAAATTGATAAATGTTTAACAGATCGATCAGATTATTTACATCAATAGTTTTAAATAACTCTTGAAGCTATTTTTATTATAACTCAACTTTTCAACTGGCCGCGAATTTGTTTTGTTTGACATAATGAATATACATTTTTGTTTTGTTTTAAAAAAAAAAAAACGGAAAATTATTTGCAAGGGAAGGGGAAAGGATATATTCTAGAATATATTTAATTGGAAGAGATTATGGAAGCTATATTTATATTTAATGTGAAACCTTGTTCACAAAGTTCCCTCTTCAAACAAGTATAGAATTTAAAAAAAAACTGCCACATCACAATTTTTTTTTATAAAAATATTATTATAAACAAAGTCTTTAAATGTTTGAGGAAGGGAAATCAATCAGATCTTATTAATAATGAAAATGTGCGTGGGTATGTCGTCCTCTAATTTCGTGATCGAACCCGTATAGGGTTCGTCCTTGCCTTTTGAGTGCTAAAAGCATCTCCATGACTCCTACTGTTTTCTTCCTTTCGTATTCTACATAGGACACACAGTCCCTGAGAACATCCGTGACAAAGTCCTTTATGCAAGTCCTTGCGATTTCATATATTTCGCCTGAAATTCGCTTCACGCCGCCTCGGCGTGCCATTCTTCTAATTGCCGGTCTTGTGATTGCTTTGATATTTTCTCGCAAAAATTTCTAAAAAATTAGAAACATGAAAATTACAGTTAAAATAAGTTAATTCTATTAATATGTCAAATGAAACTTGTTATTCTACGGGAATAAATTTTTACAAGGCCAAATATGACAATATACTTACTCTATGTCGCATTGAACTAACTTTAGCACTTTTGCCCAGTCCTTTACCGCCTTTTGTAACCGTACCTGAACGTGGTGTTGGTGTCTTTGGCATTTTTATTTGTACTTTGTTATAAAACGTGTAATGTAGTTCAAAAAAAAAAAATCCTTGTTAACTTATTCCAAAATCCCTAAAATCTGTAGATTGACAGCGATAAAAGGTAAGAAATATATTTCATTATGGCAAAAACATATATTGAATTATTAATGGTTTCTTTTTTACCTTTAATGAACAAAAAAGAACAAGTGGGTAAATTTTTTTTTTTAAAAAACAAATCATTTTAATTTAAAAAAAAAACCATTTCGTATTTCCATATCAGGATTGTGGTGTAACCATGGTGAACTTGTGACATGACGTTTTTTTAACTTGTCAACAGACAGTGTATAGTGTTTGCATAAACCTGAACAGAAATTATTTAAATGTCGTAGATTTAAACCTTTTTTGTCCATTAGTATTAACTTGAAATGGGAAGTTTGATAAATGTGTAACGAAAAAAAAGATTATAACTTACTAAATTAAGAAAGACATAATTAAAATAATCATGAGAATTTGAATAAATTAAGATTTATGCATTTCGTATTATTAATCAATTTTACACAAATATAAAGGTAAGGATTAAGACATAATTTTTATTTATTAAAGGTTAGTATTTATTTATCATAATTATATTATTTATATTTAATATTATTTTTTTAAATAATATTTTATTATTAAGTATTTTTTCTATATTAAATATTAATATTATTTATTTATAATTAAAATTTAATTATTATAATATAAAATTATAATTTATAATAACAATAATATGATATTATATTAAATATATATTTTAATTAAAATTTTAATATGAAGTTTGCTATTTATTACTACTGATAATCAGCACAAGTATTAAATCAACCAATAGTAATTGATGTTTTTAATTATCTCATGTGACTAGTAACATTTAAGAAGGATGAAACAAAAAATTTTAGAATTTATAGTAAAATAAAACAGGAAGATATAATACAATATAATACAAGATGACAAATAACATATGTAATATAAACATATAAAACACATGATATCGGTGATGAACACTAGTGATAATATATAGTAAATTTCTTTAATATTTATTTTTTTAATTTTTAATATTTATATTTGTTTGTATATTAAATTTATATAATATTTGTTTTATTTTATAGATATATTTTATATATTAATTATTATTTTTTAAGCATTATTTTATTTAATTTTAAATTTTTATATAATAAATAATTATTACATTAATTATCAGTTATATATTATAGTATATATAAATAATTTTACATATTTTATATATTGATTTTTAATTTAATAAATTTAGATAAATAATTTAACTCAAATTTTATTACCTTATTAAAATTATAATGTTTTGTGAATTATATAATAATTATATAATTATTATCATTATTTATGTAATCTAATTCTTTTTAACAAAATTCTTATGTTTGTTTTCACTTATTTGAAAAAAATTAATTTTTATTGTTTAAAGCTTATATCTATTTATTCTAAAACATTGCTTTCTAAAATCAATAAAATTTATACAAAATATTAATACAAAACTTTAAATTCATTTATAATGAAAAATATTATTCCAAAGTTTTCTTATAATAGTTTCAATCTGTTGTTCAACTCTTATTATAATTCTTTATATAATAGTTCTAATCTATTGTTCAATATTTATCATAACTCTTTGTCATTTGATCTGATAATTAAAGATTTTATAATTCTTCAATGCTATTTCTTAAAATAAATAAGAAAAATAAATTATATTTAAGAAGATAAAGATTATGATTAAGGTTGCTTATTTATACTTGTTTTAGATTTAGCCAAACTTTTAAACTTTAGTTTCATTAAATTTTTACTAAGTATTTAATATAATTTTATTATTTTTATAAGATTTAACATAATTTTACCTTTTTCTGAATTTCACAAATTTTTTAATAAAGTTTTAACCAAGTTTAACCTTTACCATTTAGATATCTGTCTAAACTCTAGATTTTATCAGCAATCTTAATTATAATAATAACAAGTTTGAAAAAAAAGAAAATTAACTCAAAGAATGAAATTTAAGACTTGGAAATTTGCTAAATTATGTCTTGATAAGTATGTAAAGCAATAAGAATTTTATTTTTGTAAAAAAGACATATCAAATCTAATAGATAATACAACAAGATACAAATAATATGAATATTTATATGTCTAACTTTATAAAGTTCAAAAGGTTATTTTGAGAAAATAGAAGAGATAAAGATTCTAAAATGATTAAATACCTCTAGCATATTAATCTTACTTTTCTTAAATCTGAAATATTATTCATATTAATAATATAATTAATATACATAATCATGATATAAATCCTCTTATTAATTAAATAATGCTAAAATTTTAGAAATTAACTGATGAAATGCTTAAAAAAGTAAAGTTTTAAATAATACAAGAATAAATAGGTATATTAATACAATACAATCAACTGATAGCCTTATTTTCAAATAAAATAATTAATAAGAAAAATTTGAGTAGTACTATTTAAAAATTTAAGAAGTAAATAAAGAATGAAATATCAGTTAACTTTTATCAATAAAGTAGGGAAAAATGATTTTTATATGTTCAGAGTTTTACTACTAATCAATAATATTACTATTTATGAAGAGTATCAATTGAAAATAATAATTAGTGATAAAACTCAAAGGATGTTTGGTCTAAAATAGAATATACACCAGTATTTAATACTATAAAGTTACTTGGTATTGATAATAAATATATAAGAAATTAATTGGTCTTTTGTAAATTCTATCATATACATTAGTAAAATAGAACAATAAGTATTTATTATAACAAATTTTTGATTATTACCTAAAATAATAAACAAAATCAGATGTTAAATGGATTTAATTATTGAAAATTAAAAAAATCAATCATTAAATTGCAATTTTTGATGAAACTATATGAACCTAAATATCAAATAAGTTCATATAAATTCTGTGTCTGAAAATTTATACTTTAATATATTAGTTGTATAGAAATTATACTTTATTTTAAAAATCAACTATATATATTTTAACTATAAGTAATTTTTAATATCTACAGTTGGAATTTTAAACAAAATCATCTGATTCAAATAAAAATTATAAATTTTATATTATTATGATTTTTAAATCTGATACCTACCAAATTTTCTATCAAGACTAAAATTTTTTGAAATTGTATTAGAGAATCATTAATTGCAAATAAAAAAGGTTAAAATAACTAAAGATGGTTTTCATAATTATTTTCAAATTTCAATTGAATTGCAACTTAATTGTGTCATAAGGAAATTTAATTGTGTCACAGGTTACAACTCAATTGCGTTATTTTTTTTAATTATGATGCAAATAAATCTTATTTACTATATTATTGTAAATCAGTTTTTATATAATAAAATTAAAAAATTTGAATTTTTGTATTAAAATTATGTAATTTTATGAAATAAATTTTTTGAAATTAGTTTTTTTATAATTTAACTTACATTTTATAGATTACTTTAATTATAATTTATAATGTATTGTGTATATACAAGACTTTATAGTCTAGATGTTAAATATATTAAAAAGCTAACTTTTACATAAATAATAATTTTATATATAAAATCTGATCAATTATAAAATTTTATAAATGATAAAAGTAATGTTATAATGAGCAACTATAAAACAGAAACTAAACTGATCTTTTAGTAAAATATCTTAAAGAAACTAAAAAAGCTTTATGAAAAAATATTTAAACTAAAAATGGTAATAACAATTATTTTATTATGTTGCAATAAATAAAAAATCAATTAAATGTTATAACATTATTAACTTAATTAACTGCATGTTATATTTAGTTGCAATTATTACAAGAAACAGCAATTAGTTACAATTATTATAGGAAGTAGCAATTAGTTATAATTATTACTAGTATTCTGCACAAATCGGATCAGATCAGATTTAAGCAAAATCTGATTCGATCTGAATCTGAAAAATCCAAATTCGATTCAATCTGAATCTGACAAATCTGAATCTGAATCCCTATCTGAATCTAACAAATCTGAATCTGTATCTGTATCTGTATCTGTATCTGACAAATCAAAAAATTTTTTTAACAAAAATCTGTCTCCAATGTTCAGAACGGCATTTTAATGTTAAAAAAACAACAATTTTGTTGTTTTTTTAACAAAAATCTGCCTCTGACATTTGGAACTGCATTTTAATGTTAAAAAACAACAATTTTGTTGTTTTTTTAACAAAAATCTGCCTCTGACGTTCAGAACGGTATTTTAATGTTAAAAAAACAACAATTTTGTTGTTTTTTTAACAAAAATCTGCCTCTGATGTTCAGAACGATATTTTAATGTTAAAAAAACAACAATTTTGTTGTTTTTTTAACAAAAATCTGCCTCTGACATTCAGAACGGCGTTTTAATGTTAAAAAAAACAATTTTATTTTTTTTAACAAAAATTCGCCTCTGACGTTTGGAACGGCGTTTTAATATTAAAAAACAACAATTTTATTGTTTTTTTAACAAAAATCTGCCTCTAACATTCAGAACAGTGTTTTAATGTTAAAAAAATAACAATTTTGTTATTTTTTAACAAAAATCTGCCTTCAACGTTCGGAATGGCGTTTTAATGTTAAAAAAACAACAATTTTGTTTATTGTTTTTTAACAAAAATCTGCCTCTGACGTTTAGAACGCCGTTTTAATGTTAAAAAACAACAATTTTGTTGTTTTTTTTAACAAAAATCCATCTTCAACGTTCAGAACGGCATTTTAATGTTAAAAAAATAATAATTTTGTTTTTTTTTTAACAAAAAATCCACTTCCAACGTTCAGATCAGCATTTTTATATAAAAAATTAATAAAAATTAATTTTTTATTAATAAATGCTGCACCTGTCTTTCGGGGTGGCATTTTTATATAAAAAATTAATTAAAATTAATTTTATTATTAATAAATGCTGCGTCTGATTTTTGGGGCGGCATTTTATTATTAAAATTTAAATTTTTTAATAATAAATG